GTCCGCGCCGTGCTCGCCGTGTAACGAGGGCTGCCCGGCTGTAGCGTGGGCAGCCGCGGGGGACGGCGTGCTGGGAGGCCGTGGCGCTGCGGGGCCTGTTAAGAAATGAGGGCACCCAGACCTGTGCCGAGAACGCAGGAGTAATTCCTACCTCGGCAGGTAGAGAAGGGTTTTCACCCTTTTTTACCCTTATGGCTGTGGTCGTAATTTTTGCCCTTGTGGGTCCTGCAAGTAGGAACTAGACACCTCGGTCAGACACACAGTCCCTGTGGTCCCGTTTCAGGGAGGCTGCTGTTCCTCTCCAGACTCCTGCCTGCTGCCCTGCCCCAGCAGCTCGCATGACCATACAGTGAGCAAGGCTCAGAAAATCTGCGTGGAGCTTTGCTTCGTAGCAGACTTTTAAAAATACAGAGTTCAGGCCCAGGTTACGTGAGAGAGAGAACTGTTTTCCAAATTTCACGAAGTGTCTATGATTTCAGAGGAAGTTCTGGTTCTTACGTGGGCTGCTGCCACAATGGAGGTGGGAGTGATGGGGGGTGGCAGAGCAGGTAATTGCTTGGCGATCAGGGAAGCCGTGCAGATGGGCAGGCAGGGGGAGAGCCGTTCCTTTGCCTTGTAGAGTGCTCTGTGCTGGGGAGCCAGGACCCTCACCGAGGCCACTCGCACTTCTGCAGACCCAGGAGGTGTCCTTGGACCCCGGAGGAGCCAGTGCAGGTCCTGCAGCCCTGCCGGGTGTCAGAGCTCTGCGGAGCGTGTCAGGATCAGACCGTGCCCTCTCCGGCTTGGCGTTCCCAATTGACTCCTGGAATGGAAAGGAACCTAAATAATGCAATGTGCTACATTTTGGTTAACGGTATTGAGAGTGAAGTGTGAGAGTTCGTAACCTTTCCATCAGAACTGAATACATGCTTATTTGAAAAAATTTGGTTGATATATGGCTGTGTATTCTCAGGCAAAAGTTGATTTACTGAAGTTGTGTGTTTGTGATTTGTGTTAATAACCTGAAGGGAAATAATGGTTGAAAATAAAAAGCTATTTCTTAACATTTAATCACAAAATCTGTTGTGTTACGTTTGCACAGTGAACACAGTGAATTCTTTACCAAAGTTGTTTTTGTTAAATTACATTATAAGGAGATTTCTATTTCTTTCAGTGAGGAGAGGACAAAGGTTAAAATGAGAACATGCTTTCTGCTGCAATTGTTAAGTTTTACAGCTGCTTACACACATGATTCACTCGAGGAATAAATGACTTTTCAGCCAAAATCCTTGGGGGAAGTATACTACAGTACAGTAGAAACACAAACATTTTAAGATACGTTTAGCTTGTTGAGCCATTCCTGATAGTGCTAGCTCTTTTTTTTTCAGTCAGTGAGTTGCAGTCGCTTGGCAGTACTAGAGCTTTAAATGGCTTATTAAAAACGGCATTGTAAACTGAGTTTCCCTTACTTGTAGTGGTGGCTCTGTCCAGTGTCTGCCTTTGACCCAGGCTAAGTAAGGTTTGTCCTGGCTGTAAGGTTTCTCCTGGCTGGAAGCTTAGAGAAGCTTTGAGCAACTGTGTTAAGGATCTTAAACCACTGGAAATAGTATCTTATATTGACTGACAGAGGGGCCTGATCTCTATTCACTAGTAACTTTGAGTAAACCCAGTTTCTTTCACAAACTTGCTTCTGGATCAAAGTACGGTGGTCAACACAGCGAGGCATTTTAACGGTGGTAACATCCAAGTTTGCTACACTGATAAACTCTGAATTTTAATTATAAATCCCCTGATTTCTTTGCAATGCTTCCTCATCTTCTGACCCAGTGAAAACTGAGGTAGAATTATGTATTGTGTAGTTTCAGCTTCAAGAAATGCTGTCTATCTCTTAAAGATTTTTGACCTGATGCAAAATGTACCCCAAATGGGTAAACTGAGGTTTGCCTACACGTGACTAGTGTCCAGTGCCTGGGAACGTAGAGCTTTGTGGCACAAGGGAAAATAAAGTGGATGCAGAGAAGATTATTCACAGCTGAGTATTCAAGTAATTTTTCTTTGTTTTTCAGGTCTCAGAAACTGAAAGACTTTCATATGTGGGGAATAACTTCGGCAGTGGAGTTATGACATGTAACTCCCTATGCAGGTATGGGTTGCTGGCAAAATGGAGGCAGGAGTGTGGAGGTGGAAGCAAAAGAATTGCTCAGACACAAAGTTCCTGGTAGCCTTTCTTAAAGCTGGCTCAGAAATTCCCATGGAGGCCGTGATTTGGCTCAAGAGGGTTTTGACAGGAGAATCTGGCATCTGGCAGCTGTATTGTTTGTCCCTTTGGAAGTTGTGATGTGACGTGCAAATAGAGTGTATTTGAAAAGGTCTTGTGAAGGAAAGGGTGAGGAGATGATTTGGTGTAGCTGAAACCTAGGAATAACAGCTTTGTTATTTAGAAACTAAGAAATTAAGATTAAGAAATCGGCAAGATCATCTTTTGCTGCCCAGGAAACCCCCAAGTCATTAGTCACTGTTTAACTTCAGGGCACAGCATGATGCTGCTATGTGAACTAATAAGCTGTCTGTGCCATGCGCTATGAAAGGAAGCGTTGGTGAAATCACCAGCCTTTACATGTCCTGTTTTAAGAATGTGACCTTTGTGGCATTGGGACAGAACCCATTGGCCTCCTAAGAAGTATTCTGTATGTGAGATCTTTTTTGTTCTCTAATAGAAGAACCACCAAATGGGTGGAGAGGCAATGTGGAATAATGTTGCCTTGTTATACCCAAAGGTGTTTCTTTTCTCCTTTGACATGTATTACTGCTCCTACTAGCCTACAAAACACTTAAATGCGTGCAATGTGCTTGTCAGGCTTTTGGTACCGAGTGCTCTGCTCTGTAGATCCACCTCAGTTGCCCCGCATGGTTTGCTTACATAGCTCATCTCTTCCCTAGTTGGACTGTACTGACGTGATCGTGTCTGACTAGTTAAAGTACAGGTGGGGTGAAGAGCAGAGTTGTGTAAAACTGTTAGGAAGAGGAGGTCCTTTCAGATGTAGAGCCCTGGTGGTCCTATATTCTGAATAAGGCTTGAAATTAGGAAGCATTTCTTCTCAGAGAGGGTGGTCAAACCCTGGAACAGGCTTCCTAGGGAGGTGTTCAATGCCCCAGGCCTGTCAGTGTTTGAGGCGTTTGGACAATGTGCTTAATAACATGCTGTAACTTTTGGTCAGCCCTGAAGTGATCAGGCAGTTGGGCTGGATGAACATTGTCAGTCCCTTCCAACTGAAATAGTCTACTCCATAATTCTGTAAAGGGAACTGGTTTCACCTCTGCAACTAGTCTGTCAAAACATGCCAATGTTTTTCTTGGTTCTTCTGTCTCAGAAGTGGAACCAGGACAGCTGGACTTTCAGATATAATAGTCTTCAGTTTAAGGTGATGAAAAAAAGCAGCAAGGGGCTTTTTCTTCTTGAGTTTGGAGAGATAAAATTTAGTTTAATGAATATGTATGATACAGGTATCAATGCAGTATTAATTCTAGGCAGATTTAGCGCTCTTATCTCTGAACACTGACTAAGAAATGGTTTTAGTGGCTTAAGTGGTTCTTGCCTGCACCTCTGGAGATCCTGAGCTATGGAAACTAACAAGGCAGGCTAACTGCTGATGTGTGTTCAGCTTCAAGTATTAGTTTTGAATTAGGTATGCACATGCCACAGGATTTCCAGAGATGCAGGCAAGAATCAATTAAGTAATTTCTTGCTTTTCTTTCAGGTTTTACCACCCCATCCTTCTGTCCCTTTCCTCCCACATCTGCTTCAGCCGCCTGCATGAGGATTTCCTCTAGTGGATCCATTCCCATAGCTCTTAGCAGCTGGCAGCCTAAAAACTGTGCAGTCGCAGCGGCTAGTGTGGGTAAAACAGGGAGCAGAAACCACCTCTGAGCAAACAGCACAGTGTATTCTGAGTGGAAAGTCAATGAGTCTGCCAGACTTCTGGGGTTCCTGGGACAGCAGGAACTGCCCAGACATCCTTTCTGGCCAGTGACGTGCTGTGATTCCCACTGTACTTGGGCAGCTCCTCTGAGAGCAGTTGCATAGTGAGTGTTGCTTCTACTGTGGCAGGCAGCCTGTTCTGCAAGTGGGTTTTGTCTTCAGAACGTGTGTCCTAAGTGTTAGGAAGATGTGTTATGGAGCAGACCAAGTTCAGACACTAGTTAGAAGGGATCACATGGAATGAACTCTTCTGGCTGGATAAGAAACTGGTGCGGTTGATACCCTGATCAGCTTCAGCTAAGGATGACATACAGCCTATTCCTCGTGTGTCATGAGACATTTCATGATGTCAAAACATTTGGACCTGCCCCTCTGAAATATGCGATGAAAAGGAATTTACCTGAGAGAAATTAACCTGATTTAGAGAAAGCAAAGTCACATTTCTGAGAAGCTCTGGGGACTTAAAGTGACTTGTACTAACCAGAGAACCAGCCACAGGGAACCCAAGTTTTAAAAAAACACAGGAAGCTGCATAGAAGCACCGAGAAACCAAAGATCCTGGCCCATCAAAAAGACAAAAGAGAATAGCAGCTAGCACTCCAGCACCTCGACTTCATCTGTGCATTTTGGAGCTAATTTAGTTGTCTTAAGACTTTTACATAGAGCAACAAATCTTTATATTTTTTAATATATATGTCCACACACACGTGTGTGTATACATACATATATGTGCATGCCTTGGAGGTAACTGATTTTATTGCAACTTGCTGGATGTGCTTGGAAAGCTTGTATTTGCAAGGCAGAAGAATTGGGAGAGGGTAGGGAATACACATAGCTGCACCATATAGTTGAAAACATCACTTCCACTGGACTGTCTCTCACTGATCACTTGCCTCTGTTCTTCCCAGGTATTTTGTTGGTGTGTTAAACAAGGACTCTGGGCAAATGGAAGTCTATAATGCTGAAATATTCAACATGCAGCCCTTGCTGTCAGGTAGGAAGATACTCTCTTCAACCCCAGCACCAGAGCCAGAGCATGCTAGACCTATGTATGCATTCAGCTATTGACTGCCTGGTTGCTGACAGCAGTGCTCTCTGTTGTCTCCCTGGCTGCTTGCTCCTCCTTGTTTCTGCCTTATTCCCTCAGCATGGAGGAAGGAGGATACATTAGGCTCCTGAGGCACTGCATGATGTGAAAAACAGAGGGAGAAGGAAGCAAGATGAAGTTTAAGGTGGAGGTTAAGCAGAGAGCGTTATGGGTGGGAGGGTGGAAGTGCTGGAGTCAGTGACAGAGTGGTCACTGTTCAGAATAAGTGCAGCCTTGTCTAAGTATGGTCTGCTGAGGGAAGCCTAGAAATTGTCAGGTCAAGGGACTGGATCACAGAAAAAGAAAACCAGCTTTTTTTTCAGCAAAACTGCTTTTGGTTACTGAACCCAGGAGGATAACCCAAAGAATTCGATCTCTTGGGAGCTTATTTTTTTCCCTCTGCAGCCGGATCTGGGTATTGTTGCAATCCATGCGTTAACACTTGTAGGCTTTGTAGCAAAAATTGGCCTGCCTTTCCTTTTTTGTTCTAGGTACATATGCTCATACTCAACATGTTCTTTAATTGACGAAGTCCTAGAGAAGAGATGTTGAAGTGGTGTGCCAGGTCTTTCAGTAACGGATTAGAACTAAAGGGGTGCCAAATACGTGTGCTGTCCTGGCTGCTGCAAGCCAAGCACACTAACTTTTGTTCTCTTACAGATAACTTAATACCTGATGACACGAAGGATTATCAGAATAAATCCTACAGGGAGAAGGTAAAGTTGAAACCCCATATCATGATCTACTGTGATTATCCAGCTAACAGTAGCAGATGATACTTGTCTGAGACTGTGATATTTGGTTTACTGCAGGGTAAACCTGTGCAGGTTCGGCAGTCTCTGTGCCTTGGGGGTCTATAAGACAGCGGATTATTAGTACCTAACTTAGCATTTTTTTCATAATTATTTTAGGCTTGATTACAGTCCCAGTTACGTCCTGCCCCCTTGGAGATCAGTGCTTGTTGCGTGGTTGGACTGTGCACAGTGAAATGTTTGAAGTTTTCTTAGAGAATGTGAATGTGGAGCAAGTAGTGGTTAGCTGAGTTTTCCTCTTAGGTGCAAAGTGTCTTCAGTTCAGCAGTGTGCTTTACTTTGCGTCTCTCTTGCACAGATGGATTTGTGCATTGAGGCCTTTGGTACCAGCAAGCAGAAGCGAGCTCTGAATTCTCGGCGAATGAATGCAGTGGGCAATGACATTCTGAATACAGCTGTGACAAAAGCAGCAGCAAACATTATAGATGCAAAGGGAGTAACAGGTAAGACTATTGTCTTGGCGTTTAATGAAAGCAGTCAGAAGTGCCTTTTTCTGCCTATTCCTTGCCAAGTATGGTGGGAAGAAGAAAGGGGTTTTCTTTGAGTGACCAAGGAAGCAGTTGGTCTAACAACTGAGAAGGGTGTATGTGGAGGAATTCACAGATCTTTCTGGTGGAAAAGGAACTGCTTCCTTCTGATCCTGCTAGACTTAGCATGGGAGTTACCTGAATGAGGAAAGGTCCCTGTGGCATCAGTGTCTGTCCTTGCCCATTGTTCGGAGCTCTTCTGAGGATCCCTGGATATCAGTTTGCTGGGATAAAGGCACTATTTTCACCTTGTCTAAAGTGAGATGCTGAACCTTCATTAAGGTGAAGTATACCCTGGCTTCACAGTGACATGTCTATGGAAAATGGTCTGTGCTCTAAACCAGGTCACAACCCCATCAAGTGCCATCCCCAGTGCTGTTGTGAGCCAGGCTGATGGATTTAGGCTTCTGCTGTGGAGGAGTCTGCAGCAAAAAGGAGTCTGCCATGGCCTTGGTTATTGTCACTACTACGGAAAATGTTCAGTCTCCAAAGCGTCAGACTGTGGGCTTGTTTCAAGGAGAGTTCATAACCCTGCTACTGAGTGCTGGTGAGGCTGCATCTGTATTATGTCATCCAGCCTGTGCCACCCCCCTGCGCCCTGGCCATGATCAAAATGACAGAGGAACCATGGCAGGACAAGAAGAACAGGCAGGGGCCTGGAGCACACAGCTGACAAGGAGAGGCAGAGGGAGCTGGGCTTGGTTAGTCTGGCAAAGAGGAGGCCAAGGAGGATCTAACAGCAGCCCACAGCTACCTGAGGGCAGTCAGAGCCAAACCCTTCTCAGCAGTGCCAGGCAGTACAACAAGGGTCCACAGCACAAGTTGCAGTGGTCCCTGGGCCTTGGGAGGTCCACGTGGGAGACTGGTGGAACCTTCTTGCCTTGGAGGGTTGTGCAGCCCTGGGACAGGTCACAGAGAGGTGCGGAGTCACCATCCTTGGGGATTTCCAAGCTTTGGCAGGGCAAAGCCAGGGCTGTCCTGTTCTAGTGCTGTAGACAGTCCTACTCTGAGCAGGAGGTTGGATAGGAAACCCCCAGATCTCCTTTCCAGCAGTACTTCTGGGATTCTGAGTTTCATTGACTGTGAATGGGAGAGATGTCAGTTGACTATAGAACACGTCAGCTTTCATCCCTTCTGTTCCAGGTTGGATATTGACACTGCTCTCAGAGCCCCTTTATGCCAAATGGATGTCCAGTGGAACCCAGGGTGCCAAAACCATGTTCTGCCCACCCTGCAGGCAAGAGGTGTAGCAGCCATAGCCAGTTTGTCTTGGTGCTCTTCTTTCCTAGATTTTTTTCTAGTCTGAGGTGGCTTTTCTAAATTTTAAGGAGCAGAAAGTTCTTGGTAGAAGTGATGACATCAGTCTAAAACCCAGCATGCTGAATACCTGGCAGGCATATCAGAAGCTCTCAGCCTTTCTGTGCTTACTGGAATGCTTTCTGTACAGTCAGCACCTACGTGTGGCAATAACGAAACAAAACAGGGAAGAGCCATAGCCTTTTCCTTACTACTATTCCAGGTGAGATAAACTGAACTAGAGTTTTAAACTTTAAAACTCCAACTGTGACTAAACTGATGTAGACCTAAGAACCACCATTGAGTAGGCTTGTGTTTAAAGGAAGGATTGGGGTTGTGGTCATGTTCTCTGTGTTTTGTTTGCATGGTTCAAATACTGTCTTCTTTCCTGCTTCCCTCCAAAGCTTTGATCCAGGATGTGGCCCAAGATGATGTACAGAACATCTCCATCTTCCTCCCGCCGTGTAATGAAGATGCTGACAAACCAGAAAATGTTTACAAGTTTGAGGACAGTATCTTTTTCTATGGCAGAGTGGTTTCCCACACCTGTAGGCCTCAATGTCGGTGGTCTGGCACGTGGGAGTGAATGCTGCTGGGCATGTGAATGAGCCAAGCCTTCTCCCCTCACAAGCCAAAAGCTGAAAGCAAGGACATGGCTGTGTTGAGGTGTCTGGACCTGCAAGTCGCATACCTTGCCTCTGTCCTGCAGAGAGCAGGATGTTGTGCCTCCCTGTTGCCAGCAGTTCAACTGAGAATAGTAATGAGGTCACCCATGTGGGAAAAGTGACTTGTGGTCAAGCCACAAGCCTTTAGAGGCCTTTGTTATTGGCCAGCTTGCAAGTCTTATGGTTACCTCTTGAATATTTATAATTTCCTTCCCTCCTTCTGTGCTCCACACCTCCTAACATGAGAGTGGATAGAGCTTTTCTCACTGTGGGCTGTTCAGACTAGAAGGGAGAGCAAAGGCATACTTGTTTCTTTTCTTTAAAATCCTTCCAGTTCTGTCCCCAGCAGAGTATGAAGCATTGCAGGTTCCAGCAGCAATCTTTGTTAACATCACTCCGGAAGAAATTACCAAGAAAACAGAAGATAAAAGGTAATGCTGCTGCAAACAGCTTTGTAATAGTTGAGGCGGGCCCTGTGAAACTGTAGTTTTTTCTGTGGGGCAGGATGACTACTGCTGCCAGCTCCACTGTACCCAGGCTGATCTTTTCAGTGCAGAGGGAAGACACTTGATCCAAGCATGGCTGAGCAACACCTACCTTGGGAAATGTGGGGTATAGTTATATACAGGTGAGGAGGTTTTGTGCATGGCAGCATGGCTGCTGCCCTTTAGGGGACTGATTGCAGAGGAAGAGAGTGGAGAAATCCAAAGAAGGGTCTGAAGGCAGGTACCTATAAGATGGACCACAGAACTGTGCTGAGCATGATAAGTTAGTGCCTGGGCACTGTCCCAGCCAAGTACTGGCTTGCTATGGAGCTTACTGTCTCTTGGCAAGCTGACATGGATGTACACTTAGAGCTGTACAGCCCTTGTGCTCAGGGGCTGAAGTGAGCAGGAAAAGCACAAAGTGCCCCTTGCTCCCTGTGCTTGCTGTCTGCCTGTGCCAACGTAGAAGTGTGTCTGTGTGCCACATTGAGATCTTTCGGTTTCTGCAGTGCAGGAACCTTCTTAGTAGCTGCACACTGAAAGGGGCTGGCTGAACGTGGTGGGCATTGACAGGAAAGTGTGCTCATAAAGTAGCCTCCTGGGCTATCCTTTATAGGTGTCCAGGGAACTCTTCTCAAACAGCTGAGCATTGAAGTTACAGGTGTGTCCTGTCCTCCCCATGGTGTGAACTGGTTCCTAGTTCTTTTAGCCTCATGCTCCCCCTCTCTCTCCTTCAGCCATTGCTCCTATGTCTTAGAGGAGTTGAAGTTCCTGCCTGCCGATGAGAAGAGCAGAGATCACAAAGCCCGATGCCTCTGGTTCCTGGACACCCTTATTAAGTTCAGCTACCTGAAAGTGATCAAGAAGAAGCGTAAGAGTGTTTTGCTCCTCCACTTTCAAGCTACCTGCTGAGACTTGTTCTATAATTACTGCAGTAGGAAACAGTAAAGCTGCCAAGAATGAACTGTGTGATGAAACAACTGCAGCAGTTGCTTTCAGCCTGTTTCGTGCTGAGATTGAGGATCTCCATGTTATTGAGGGTTGTAGATCTGTGTCTGCTGGGAGATGTATGCCTAACAGTTTTCAATCCCTTTATAACTGCAGTGCATGAGGGTGGCACTGTGAGATCCTTTTGGTAGGAGACAGGGTAGCTTAGATTGGAAATTTTGGGATTCTTTCTAGTTTATTGGTAGTTCTGTACTTATGAATGTGTTTTATATTTTCACACTTCAGTCCTAAGCCAAGAGGCTGGAAACTATTGGCTCTTTCCTTCATCCAGCCTCCATATTCCAGGTGCAAGTACAGTACGCAATACATCCTTTATTATCTCTTTTTGTACTTCTGAGAATATCTTCATTGTCCTTTGCTTATTAGCTCAATGTGTGGATCACAGTGATCATACCTGTGTTGTATTCAGGATCTTGCTTTTAAAATGGCAGGAACTGCTGTTCTCAAAAGCATTGTACAACATATTTTGGTTGAGATTTTCAAGACTTGCCATCTTCCATAGAACTTGTGTATCTGAGTCTCTTTGTCAGTGATGAAAATGTCGTTGTTAGCATTTTCAATGGCAGTGGGATGATAGAGGAGGAAATGGCAAACCTGGCTGTAGGTATCCTCCCGCATTGCTGGAGGCACAGGATTCACCCCGTAGGACTTAGTCTAGGAAGATGTGGAAATGACTAGTCTCGTGCTAGTAGGAATTTGTTAGTGTGGTTTCAATTTTAATAATATTTTGTGACAGGACCATCTATTGAAAGGCAGGAATCTATTAAAAGAAATATATGCCTAGGCACACATGAATGCATTGTGTAGTATTGAAGTGGGAGATCCCATTTGTAAAGAAGAGCTGTTAGGAGCCTCTTTCAGACCTGAAAAACGATGACACCTAGAAATCAAATGCCCAGGTTCCTTTTAGATTCTCTGTGTTCCTGGGAAGAGGCAATAACTGTCATGGTAATGCATGCTATTATGATGGCTGGAGGTGGGCAGTACTAGTGTATGTTTTTCATTCCACTGCAAAACCTCTTTCTGTCCTAGATCCAATGGGTCCTGAATGCCCACACGTTATTAGCAGGAAACTCATGAAGAATTTCACTTCGCTGACCTACAACAATGGCAGGTAAGGAACTATGTTTGCTTTGGTCTTCTTGAGGCGGAGATACAGCAGAGTTCACCCTGAAGGGCCATAGGCACTTTATCAGGAAACCTCCTACCAAAATGGAAGAGAGCAGTAGCTTCTCTTGCTTCAATCCCAACCCTGTAGATCATTGGGTTGTGGCTGGTAATAGTCCATTTTAGACAGTGCAGGTCTAAAACGTGCCTGGGGAAAGCAGGGTCATGTGTGCAAAAGCCAGCCTACACCTGTGGGTTTAGCTAGCGTGACCAAGTGTGGTGCCCAGTCATCTGCCTGGCCATTTCTGGATGCAGGATGGCAGAATGGGTCGTTGCTTTGCAGCTGACTCTTGACTGTGCAGCTGAACAGGCAGCTGTCCACATGTATGTTTTCACTGTGAACCAAGCTAACTGACAGGTGGATGCATCAGTTCTTCCACCATCCCAGAGTGGGTCAGGACAGAGGTAGTGCAGTGGCTAAATAACGGTGCTTTTTTTACACTTACATAGTTTAATTAGTGTGACAGGGCTGCTTTTACATGAGCCTAGGCATGGCTTGACTGACTTGGATTCTCCATTGAAACCTACACAGACAAAACTGTGTAAAGATTTGCACTGGTTAACTCGCCCTGGACTGAGAGCCACGCCATTGCACCCTATGGATACAGCCCAAAGAGTTCTGCCTAAGCTTTGCCCAGGCATTGCCCCACCAGCAGTGACAAAGTTTGATATAGTAAGGTACAGTCTGGTCCTGCCGTGGAGGTCAGCAAGGAGAAGCCACCACTGGAGCAGAGGCTGGGAAGCTCCCACAAGGTCCTGCTTTCCAGCAGTGTCGGAGCCCCTTATGTGGTGCTGAGCGCTGTCTCACTGCAGGGAGGGCTTTGGGCAGCTGTTGGAAGCTGCTTTTAGCCAGATGGCCCTTGGCTGCAGACTTCAGATGGATGTCACTTACAACGAAGCGGTTATAAATCTGGATAAACATTTTCAGCAATCCTGTCGAGTGGAAGCCCCAAAATACAGGCAAGAGTGAATAGCATCCTCTTGCCAGAGTCCCTTCCCCACACTTGTGGAGCCCGCAGCCTCTCTGCATAGAAAGGGCGTAATGCTGATGTTCAGCTATTGCACAGCTGCTCTGCCACTGTTAATCTGACAGGGGCAGAGAATTTGAGTCCAAATGGGTCAGCTTTTGTCTGAAGGCTCAAACCAGTGACAAGCAGTCAAATACTCTCAGAGGATTGCCAGGCAGGGATCTGCTTTGTATTGTGTATTTGAGGTGCTGTTAGAAATTACACTGAGTGCCCTCACAACAGCTTCCCTTTGCTTTCATCTTGCAAGGGACCAGCATGCTAAAGAGACTGAATTGTAATTAGTTGGTGGTTTTGTCAAGGCTGCATAGCAATAAACAACCTGAGTGACCTGCACTTCTGAACAGAAACGGGCACGTGAGGAAGACAAAGCCTGTTAGGCCCTTGTGATCAAAAGTCTGTGTTGCTTTGAGCTCTTCTTTGGTGTCTAGGAAAAGTCAGTCATGTCTAACTGGGGCTGCAGTTCTGTCTGCACCTCTTGGGGGTTGTGTTTTGGGTTCACTGACAGTCCACATCTCATGTTTTCTCCCTCTTACCATACAGTGTCCAGAATTTGATCTCTGCGTCAATGAAGGCTAAAATCACAGCGTATGTCATTGCATTGGCTCTGCACATTAACAACTTCCAAACAGACCTCACCATCCTGCAGAATGACCTGAAGCTCCAAGAAAGCAGGTGGGTTGTTGTGTTTATTCATGCCTGCTGAGATATGCTGTCATCATCCTACAAAGAGCCCCTGAGAAGAGAGCTCTGTAGCCTCTCTGCCAGCTGGGTAGTGCAGTAATACCTGCTAGTGAGTTGTTTTGTTGTAATTGGACTCTGCCTTTTATCAGTGTGTTGAAGCTTTATTCTGAAGCCCTGGTGCTCATAAAGGAGGGTGGTTATACGTTTCAAACTTGGGAAGGACACTTGCTACAAAGAGGTCCTCATGTACATCAAGAGGCTCTTCAGCTGTTCTGCAGGGAAGGAAACAGAGACAGGCAGCATTGAAATAGCCGGCTGAGGCAGATTCCGGAGCAAGACTTATCCACTGCCACCCAGCTCTGTTTCTTGCCTGACAAATCACATTGCTCTTCACTTTCCTGTCCTCTGTGCCCCTTCTTTCTGCGGAGCTCCCGTCCCTCTTAGGTACCAGTCTGGGTATAAGTAGTGCAGGTTTGCAGCTGACTGCAACAGGAAAACTAGAAACAAGTTTGGTTTTTTTCCTCACAGTCACACTGTGAGCATGTAGTTCGTGTTTACATGGAGGAATCCCAGGGCCCTGAAGTTTACCCACTCTGGACTTGGCACTGAGGAGATTGTTTCTGTTTCTGAAATACTAATGAACTTGGGGACTTTTCAGCAAAGCATCAGAGGGAGAGGTTGTAGTCAGAACTGCTGCCCATAGTATTTGAAAGAAGGATTTGCCAAGTCAGGGTTAGTGAAGGCGAATGGGTGGAAAACAGCGTGCAGCATAAGCTTGAGCCCTTGCAGTGTTAGCTGCGGGGGCAGTTGCTCCCTAGACGTCAGCGTCCGTGGCGTACCGGCCGGTGGGTGCAATGCCTGCTTTGCCCAGCAGGTGTCAGGCGGAGCCCGCGGCCCCGGCTGCGGGCGCCGTGCTGCTGACGGCTGCGCTGTGCTCTCGC